AAGAAGAAGAAGGGGAAGAGGAAAAATGAAAGAAGAAAAAAAGAAATGGTTTCTTTTCTAACGATCATTTGTTGGTCCTCAATAGTGGCGTGGACCATCGATTAGGATTTTAAACGAACGTAAAATTAATATATGAAAATGAAGATGAAAAATGCAAATGAAAATGAATAAAAATAAATAAATACATAAATAGACAGTTTAGCGATTAAGCGTGCGAACGAGTTCGCCAATCGATCTGTCCGATCGATTCGAATTCGATCGATCAACTATATTTGTAAATGTGTTTAAAAATCGCGCGCGCGCGTCGACCAACTAATTCCGTTCGATAATTAGATTGGTCGACGATTTTTAAACGAAAAAAAAAAAGAGAAACATTTCCATCCACCGCTATAAAAAAAAAAAAAAAAAATATTAGCCGAAAAAGTAATCACTTCATCTTGTTTTGTATTCTCTCTTGTTTTTTTTTATATAAGTTTCTCTTTTATATCATTTTTTTATTCTTTATATTTTATCGACAATTGTCAGAAATAAACGACGTGAATTTTAAGAAAAAGTAATACGATAATTAATTAATTAATTTCATTCATTCATTCATTCGTTTGCTCGTTCGCTCGTTCATTCATTAATTCATTGATTCATTGATTTATGGTTTTATATATAAATATACATATATACGAGAATAAAAAGAGGTGAAGAAAAAGAAGAATTAAAAATGGAAAAAAAAAAAAAATAAAATTGACGATTAATTAAACGATATGGGTATATACATTGGATGGTATGTCGTATGTATATGTGTAAATATATACACTTTATACTGGCGCGAGCGTGCGTGTACGTATACGCAATATCCGTGAGAGAGGGGAAGATCGTGCGTACGTGTTGGTGGTAATTGCGTGTCGAGATTTCGCACGCGAATCTTTTTCTTCTTGTATCAAACTAAAATCATATAATAAAAGAACAAAAATTACATTAAAATAAAATAAAATAAAAATAAAACATGCCATACTGCGCGTACGCACGTGTCGCGACGAGCGTATTATTTATACTTACATGCATTCGAGAAAAGGAAAGAGAGAGAGAGAGAGAGAGAGAGAAAAAACGAAAGCGTAAGCGTAAACGTATAAGCGAAAGTGAAAAACGAAAGAGACAGAGACAGATGAGATAAAAAGAAGAAAAAAATGAGAAAAAAAGAAAAAGAAAGAAAAAATGAAAAAAGAAATGAGATGTGTCGTGGATAAAAACAGACTGTGCATTAGTTAGTAAGTATTAATCTAAATGAATATGGCCGCGCGCGAGGCCAGCTCGATGTGACGGTTGTGTTGAGTGTGCGTGCTTCCCCTCCTTGGTCTCCAAGTTCATCGTTCCATTTTATCATTAATCGTTCGTGCCCTCTCATCGTTGTAATCCCTACCCTATTATCAAAACACATACACGCGTATACACGTAATTACATACATACGCAAAGAGTCAAAAAGTACCTTATCTACTTTACCCCACCCCCAAGTCCCCCGCTCGACAAAACAAAAACCACTTTCTTTACTCCTCTCTCTCTCCTCTTTCTCTTGCTCTTGCTCTCTCTCTCTCTCTCTATCTATCTCATCGCATCGCTCATAAAATATATGTTTCCTCACCGTTTTCTCTCTATCATTCCTCACTTTCGATCGCGTGGTGCTACCCTAGCACACCTCTTTCGCACCCCCACACCATTCTATCGATTCATCCATTTATTCATCCATTCATTCATTCATTCATCCAAACCATCTCGATCCCCCTCTCAAAAAACCCCTTGTAATGCTTCAACGCCTCCGTCGTCATGTTGTTGTCATTCTTAATTATTGTAATATATAATGAATAACGATCATTGTTGAGTATTGTCTGATTGTAATACATTGATATTGAATTGATATGAATTGATAATCATTAATTAAAAAAGCGTAATATTAAACTTTGTGGATGTAGCTAATAATTGGTGTGACCGAAAGAATGAGAGATTATGTTTTGTTATGTATGCATGAAAGTATGCGTGAAAGGAAGAAAGAAAGGAAGAAAGAAAGGTAATGTTTGAAAGAGAGAAAAAAAAAGTCGCTACAATGCGATCAGACGAGATACAAAAAATCATGATAAATCGTCCGAGGTGTGAATATGTTTGTATGTTTGTCTCTATATGGATGTGTTTGTTTGTTCGTTCATTCGTTAGTGTATGTTTCTTGTGTGTGATTTTAAAACAGGTGATGATAATGAGATGCTGAGTGCGCGTCCTGTGCGTCAATTCAATGTGAAGTTGTTCGTGGAGAACTAAATATTTATTGGCTGGAAAAAAAGTACTAACGAAAGAATACAAAATCACTGACGAAGAAGAAGAAGAAGAATAATAATAAACGATTTAGAAGGTAAGGAAAAAAGTAATCAAACAAATACTTACATCAATGAACGAAACGCGGGAAATATTGATAAGAAGTTGCTCGGAATGGGGAGAAAAATGGAAAAGCGCTAAGAGATGCGCAACGGACAGGGTAAAAATAAACAGAAAACAAAATAAAAATAAACAGCGAGATATGAAGAGAGGTATCGAGAATGAATATTTTGATAATGGAGGACGAAGTCTGGAAAGGCGATGATAATATCGAAGGCTAGATGTGGGAGAAGACAATGAACTAATAAAGACGAAAGAAAAAAAAGACAAGAGAGAGAGGGAGAGAGAAAGGTCGTTAAAGAGAACAGTAATCGTGTTAACCCTTTACACTTAACAAATATGACGTCTATATAAAATAATAAAATGTCTATACACAATAATGGTGAATTTTTTTTCATTCGTATCATTTATCTGTCATTTCTTATCTCAACAAGTGTAAAGGTTTAATGTCAGAGTTTTCGGATTATTTGTACGATTTGCTTGAATCGCGATTAAAAAATAAAAGAGGAAGAAAGAGAGAGAGGAAGGGAGGGAGGGAGGGAGAGAGAGAGGGAGAGAGATAAAATTCAAATCAGGCTTTAATCCCTGAACTCTTTCGATCGTCGTTACTCTGTGAAATATCGAGGATTTTGTAAGAATGATGGGAAGGGCTGAGGGGAATTAAAGGGCATATATCTTCCTTCGCACACGTCGACTTCAAAATGGTACTAATAAACCCAAAGTGCCTCTGGTAGATTTTGGGGCATAAGCTTCACTAATAAAGATTACATAAGCGTTTTATCTTATAAATAAAAAGGAGAATAAAACTGAATGGAGGGGAAACAAAAAAAAAAGCAAGGGAAAGGAAGAAAGATGGTGGGATGGACTAATCTAGCAAAGAAAGGAAAAAGAGAGAGAGAGAGAGAGATGAAAGAGAACGAACGAATATTAAAGAATTAATTTTATCGGAGGAAGAATTTAAACAGAACGTATGTATATACGTAAGTAAATATGTACGTCGAATAAGAGACTCTTTAGATAGGCATAACATATAGTCGGTAGTATAGTTTCTATGTCAATGGTCTCGTCTGCTGCCCTGAGTGTCTTTCCCAGATGGTATACACGATATATCTCCAGGATATGCATATTATTCCTTGAAGAAAAAAAACAATACCACCGTATATCTTGACGAATAGCATGCCCTCTTCTTATCCCTCAAACTTTCCAACTCTTTAACCTTCGATCTTTCTTGTAATAATGAAGCTATTGCATTTGTCATGCAATGCAACTATTCATCTCGACTCTCTTTCTCTCTCTTTGTTTCACCTCGCATTAAATCAGTTTCATCGTATGATAGGTCTTGTTTTGCCACATCGACTCCCTCCTCCTCCTTCTCCTCTCCCTCTCTTAACATTATCAACCCCAGTACCAAATCCCCCAGTCCTCTAAATCGGCATGTTTTGCTAAATAAAATATTATCATTGTATCATCGATGGTTCCTCATTAATTATGAAATATACGAGTCCCCACAATTTGTAAGAGATTTCGAGTATTAAGAAGATCTGTGTATGTATGCGTGTGTATGCGTGTTGTGCGTATGTCACTCTGTGCGTGTGCGTATTTATCTGTATGTTCGTCGTCGTAACGCGTGGCTTTGCCATCAACGTCCCTAAATTTCCTACCACTCTTATTTCTCCTACACCGATCGGTTTCCTGACGATATCTGGGATGACGGGTTCAACTACCCCGCGCGTTGTCACGTCTAACATAAGTTATGCTCTGATGAATGTGTACGATTGAATTTAGAAACGTGAGCGCCTCTCCGAGTGTTTGATGTTTCTTCGAGTGTATACTACATCTGTCTGTGCTGTGCTGTGTATGACTGTGTATATCTGTGAAGTATAATTTTCTTTCTTCTTTATCTTCTTTCTCTCCTCTCTCTCTCTCTCTATCTCTCTCTCTCGCTCTCGCTCTCGCTCTCCTTAACTTTACAACAAAGAAGAAGAAAAATAAAATAGATTATCAACGATAAAGATAAGAGTGAGGGAAGGGTGGGGAGAGAGGAAATATATTGAGAGAAAGAGATAGAGAAATGACGTGAAAAAGAATCGAGCGAATGTTTTTAGACTGTGCAAGACTGAGAGAAACAGCGGAAGGAGCAGACCGATCGCATCCATCCATGGTCGCTCCCTCGCCGCTCATTTTTACGTCATAAACATTAATTACGATTATACATATTGAGAGATGCAAGAAGTAAGAAGATAAAACGGAAAGAAAAAACAAATAAAAAATGTGGAAAGAAAAGAATGCATTCAGCAGGAAGAACACAATTACGTTACGTTTATAATAGTCATGTTCCTTTCCAATCGATAATTATTACAAATAATAAATCTCTATATCAATCCTTGCTACAATATTATTTTGTACTTGTTTTATTATAATATCTTAATATATTATATATAAATATATTATAAATAATACCGTTTTTAAGTTATCCGACTTTTATTATTATTACGATTATTATTATTATTATTATTATTATTATTATTATTATTATTATTATTATTATTATTTTTGTATAAATGTGTGATTAATAGTACGAATAGTGTAATAATTTTGTATGTTTATTGAACCAAAAATAAATATTATTGATAAAGAAAAAAATAGGGCGCAGTGCAAAAATTTACAGCTTTGGTGAATCTATAAAAAAAAACACACACACAAAGATATTTTATCATTATGTAAAATATAATGAAATTAATTTTCCGTTTCCGTGTTCAACGGCTTATCAGCTTCTTCGTCCATTACCCTCGTCGCATCGGAATCATTTGAACGTCGCTTGTCATTATGTCGAAGACTTCGTGGACCCACCGTACTCAATACGATGGGTAGGAGCAACAAACCATGCCAAAGGCCAAATAATATTACTAAGAAGAATATTTTAAAAAACGCACGGAACACATAGGCATCCGAAAAAGCTAACATCGAGAGAGCTAACAATGTTGAGCCAGCACCATATGCCACAGCAGCTCCAATGTGTTTTACTGCGATCAATGCTCTTATTTTACGATCTTGATTGTTATTTTCCTTTGACGAGGCATTCAGAAAAGCATGTGCCACGTGTGCGGCATAATCCACACTCAAACCAACCGCTAACTCTAAACCTGTTTAAATCATATTAACGATAAATGTTTTATTCCTTACCTTAAATATACAATCCAATTCCGTATTAAAAACAGCAACTCACCTATACATGAAACTATGTCTATTGTCAATCCCCAGAAATACATAAATCCACAAACATTAAGAAGCGTCAGAAGTACGCACAACAAGATCCAGAAACATGTTTGAGGTTCTGCTATCAGAACCGCGGTAGTACCCATTACACAAATAAGTGCTAGAATAATATTTCGCAAGACTTCCTGTGCAATCAATTTATCAGTCACCCAAGTACTAAATACTTTACTCCAAACCGTCACGAATCCATTGATCCCAGTTTCTCTCGCAATTTGTTTAGTATCGTCCATCGCTGGAATCCATTGGTGAGGACCGGTAAATTTGATAAAAAAGAATTCCATAGTCGCAATTAAAATCCGAGGTGCGTCTTCTCCGCACTTGAGTTTTCCATCGAAGTGAAAGTTCATTTGATATTTTCCACCCATACGACTAAAGAGAAATTTCGATAAATATCGTTGAAAATCTTCCTTTTTGATTTTGTTCGTTGTTAAATCTAAAAATAAATCAAAATTATATTAATAAATTCTATATCATTCGCGAATATCTTCAGATTTACCTGCTTGATAAAATGTCTGCACAAAATGTGCAAAATCCTCTGGCCAAGAATCGACCTTCTCCACTGATGATAAATTCTTCAAATTTGAAGCAAGCGTCATTATTTTCGAGAATTCAGACGGATAATCAATGTCACCAATAAAAACGTAAGCACTGTGACCTCTATGAGAAAAGTATTGATTCCTTGCAACTATGTAGTTGCTCAAATGAGAATCTTTTGGTAAAAACCATATTGGATCAAACCATTGTTCCAATTGATACGAGCCAATTGCACCTACCGATGCTGCTATTATCGTGATCAGTAGAATAGATAACTTTCCAGGTACAGTTAGAACGATCTTTGAATAGAAGCGATCTATTAATTTTGTAGAGAATGTTTCGTTGGGATCGACAATTTTGGAAACATAATTTTCATGAACTATACAAGGTATTAAACCATTTCTTTTCTGTTGAATACGTTTCGCATCCAAGGTAAAAAAAGCGACGAAAAATGTGATTTGTAATAAAAACGTGACGAGAACTCCGACTGCAGCGTAAATACAAAATGATTGGAGCGATGGTAATATCTGAAAATTAATTATGCACAAATATTAATTATACATTAATATTTATAATCATAAAAATGATGAATGCATATACCGTTGATGCACCGATAATGAATGCAACGACATCGGTAAACGATGTGATGCAAATAGCAGAACCCGCATGACCCAATGCTAGACCTATCCTTTCATGTAATGCTTTTTTTCTATTTTCTTCGAGCGAATGTATTTGCTTCCAAGAAGCCATCATTACGAACAAATCGTCTATTCCAAGACCCAGTAACATAAATGGTAAGGATGTATGTACTGGACCATAAGGAATTCCAATTGCTGAACATACACCAATGGATATTATAAAGGCACCACCAACGCAAAGTAATCCAGTCACGGTAAGGCAAAACTATTTCAAATTAAAATATCAACATAGTACATATGTGTGAAACTATTTGTATAAGTTTAGATTTATTATAGAACTATTATAATTACCCTCCATTCTACCCAGTTGAAATTAGAAAGAATCAATTGAACGTAAAAGAACATCAACAATATTCCTATTGCTAATTTGTCTATGTCTTGAAACAAGGTAGATGAACTAATGTCTCCAAAACTTCTACCTGCTTCATAAAATAATCCCAACGTCTCATTTCGATAATGATTATTATTCCAATTTTGTAATTCTATTGAAGCTTTTTTTAGAGTAAGCAGAAATCCTGATTCCCACCTCAAGGCTTCTTCCGTCGCCTGAGCATAAATTATTATTGAGAATGAAAATCTTATTACTAATTATCTTTTTCTATTAATTTATATGATGCCTATCTAATTCCCGACAACCAATAATTAAGTCAAGATAGACTATTACGAATATTATGTATACTTGTAGTTAGTTTTTATTTCAACTACATATTATATAAAGACTAATTATTAACACTTTGAGAAAAACGAATATGTGATTCACCTTGTTTTTGTCCATCCTTTATTTCTACAATTTTTTGTTTAACTTCAATAGAAAAGAATAAAGATTTGATTCTTAATATTCACGTAATTATATATATTTATGTATATATATGCAAAAACATAATGTATACGCATCATTAAAAATGACATAGAGACTTACCTTACCCAATCAGCTGTTCCAGCATCATTTCCAGATGTGTCCATGTTTATGTTTGAAAAATTAACGCGCACCATGAACTGCGTTTTAAGTGCTTTGGCTGATACAATTCTCCCATCATGATCTCTTGTAACGTCGCCTAGGAGATCGGTGAAATTCATAGGATGACCAAGAGTGGGGCTGACTTTAACAGTATTTATCCTCATAATGATATCTTCTTTTGTTTGATTGTTGATCTTATTGCTGTCATATTCCCAAAGATCAAGTATGTTATACATAAAACAAGCTCTCGGTAAACTATCATATATGCTGCAATATAGTCCACTATCCGCATGCACAGCCGGTTCAAATACTATTTCATTTAAATCTAAAGAAGGTTCTTCTTCGAAGAACTCATTATCCAAATAATTCGTACTCCTTCTATTTCGGATATGACCCTTTATTGAAGGTATTCTGTTAACAAAGCAGAAGTTGTAATGTTGTTTTATTGTTTGCTGCTTTTTAGATGATATATAATAACTTACTTAAAGCACACATCTGTCCACGAAATAGGTGCATGTATACCAGGAACTTTAGTCAATACCACTTGTTTTATGATTTCATTCAACTGAAAATAATGCGTGTCAATGTAACTACTTATCTTGAATAATGTAGACAAATGAACATAGTATTATAAATACTTTAACGAGTATCTCTGCTTGCAAGATGTCGTCTCCAGTTAAAATGATATTCTGTACTCTTTGTCCTTCTCCAAAGTTCGATAAAAACCACTCTGTGTCGTGAACGAAATCAGAGTTTGGAGGAATCCAAAGTTTCAGTGGATTCTTTTCTTGTCGAAACCAATACAATCCACTAAGACAAAATATTATAATTATAACGCTTCCTATCAACCATCTCTGTGGTTGTAAAGCTATTCTCGATCCCAAACTGAAAGAAACAAATTAAATCATTTTCCAACAGTGTACTCATCATTCATTCTAACCAGTGTTTGTAGTACTACAACGTGCTATGAATATTTAACTAGATTTCAACTTACGCATAAAAAAATCGCTCAACTCCTTCTGATATACGTTCTGGTATGTGACGCATGGTATTCATAAAAGATCTTTTCTTAGCAATTCTTTCTTGTATCTCCATTTTTCTTCTTAAATACAAGACCTTGCCTTTGGCAAAAAAAAAAAAACAATCTTCTTTTATAATCTTTTGTTATATCTGGCTCATTGAAGTTTTGGAGTACTGCCTAATACTAGTACTAAAAGTAAAACAATATCACAATGATAGAATAAAAAATATATTTATACAAAAGAAAATTTGCAAACTTGAACCTTATCAATTGACATTATCATAACCTCTGCAGTTAAATTTACGTGATGAAAAAACTTGTATCACTTGAACAATCAATAGAGTTGATAATTTCAAAGATTCAATTGGAGATCTTTGGACATTTTTGACAGAAAATTGATGATTCATCTGGATCATCTTAGTACTAAGAAAAGATTATATATATATATATATATATTCACAGACAAGTTATAAATGATTGCAAACTTTCATTTGACCGGCTATTTCTATCTTCTTCTCTCTCTCTCCCTTTAATTCTTTGATAGAGGGAAATTGGAGCAAAGCTACGCACACGCGCTTTTGCGTAAAGAAAAAAAAAAAAAAAGAAATATAATAAAAAGTTGACTTACACTCATAGAGTATCCTTAACAGAGAGAGCGTTCTGTTATTGAAAAATAATAAATTATATTTTATCGAAAATGAAATCAGTAATATTTGCAGAATGACATACAACACTTTTACAACACATGAAATGGCAACAATGCGAGCTCCGTTTGATAACTTTTATTGAATGCCTTTTTCGATGAAACACGACGTTAACAGTGCTCTCAGAAAATCTCAAATGACTGTTCTTCTTTCATAGACCGATTGATAATTGACTCTCTACGAGTTTTATTTTTATTTCAGTTGAGCAATCGTTCGAGATAAAAAGCCTTCCGTCACGCAAAAAAAAATCCGGAATGTACAATTTGTTTTTATTATCTATAATAATTAATTCTTTGATAAAATATCTTATGGTTACAATATTTTATCTTCTTGATAAAAGAAATATTTTCAAATATCATTTTTCTTGTCGACTGCGCGCTTTTCTTTTCAAATTTTTCGAGAATCGAGATATTTATACTTCTTCGATATATGCGATTTTTATCGAATATCTATAATAGAGATATAAAATTACGTCATAATTTTGAAATATCTTAAAGTTATGTGTAAATTGAACAAAAATATCATAGCTCAATAAAAAAAAGTAATTTATATACAATTTAAAAAATATAATTTGTGTAGAATTCGTTATTCTGTCATTTGAAGAATGAAAAAGTGACGAGTGTGGCCTTTGTCCATTATTAGCTATAACTTTTAAAAAAGAATAAAAGAGTATTATTTAACAATAACAATTGTGTGCTTTGTAAACTACTGTTTTATTAATCATAAAGAAATAACGTATAAAAAAAGTGATATACAAAGTGTAACTCTACACGTGACTGCGATGTGACTCATATGAGAGATATTATTACATTAAATTATCCTATAATTGTTACTCATCGTGAGAGATAGAAGCGAGCATCCGTAGAGCTAATCGTTAAAAACGCATCGTACGATTCGTATATGCATATCGAATTTTTAAATGACAATTAAGTATCGTGCCATACAAGAGATACAAATATAGACCAAAATGGAGGTACAGCAAGCTCGAGAAAGGATTCGACAAATATTAGGTGTCTCGATTATTTCCAAATGCATCAAAGTTGAGAAGATATTACTGATGGCAAAACAAAGCATAATCGCTCTAGCTGGAAAAAAAGATGGTGAGGTATTCAACCAAATGGGTACGATTAAAAGATAAGGTAGAACGATCGCTAGATCGTTGTAATGAGCGCTCCTGATTCGATCCACTGCCGGATGTCCACCGCCACTTGGGCACAGGATCACGTGATTTCCTTTCATCCACATCCTATCCTCCTCGCTGTGTATTACCTATCATCAAATCATAATAATATAACATTAATCATTATAACGTCCAAAAACTAAAGAAGAAAAACATAAAGTATTTAGTTATTATATTAATTTAATTAGTATATTACCGAGATGTTAAGATGAAATGAACTGTATATGTTAGATCATGCTAATTAACACTAATTTGGTTAGTTCCGACCGGGTGAAAATATTTCGACATTTCTACTTCTCTCTTGTATAACACATTAAAACACTAAATGTAATATATTATATGTATGTAAGTATAAAAATAAGCTTCCTTTTTCTAAAAAAAAGATCGCTGTTTTATTTATTCTTAATGACAAATCTTACCTGTTTGGCAACACGAACTCGTCCTGTGATCCAAGTCAAGGACATCATCTTCAAGATAAGAACGCTAGCCCACCACGCGTATATCGTCCAAAGTTTCTCTCCTTGTCCCTCATCATTTGGATTCACGTTATATAGCATTGTATTTTACGCACACAAAAAAGATAAATAAGCAGAGACAAGCTAACGGTTTATGAAAGAGAGAGAGAGAGAGAGAGAGACAAAGATTCCTTCTTCTTACGTTTTCACGTCGAGCCGAATGACGACGAACTGTCGAACTTCTCGAGAGACGATCTAGTTGCGAGGTGAAACTATGCTTAGATTCTATTTGAGAGTCAAATGACAACCGATTATCCGACCGTTTAGCTTCTGTATTCGAAATCGATTTTCTACGAAGCAGGTACAACACATTCAACATCAACACAATTTTCAATAAATATAGTTCAAATCTATCTTATTTTCTAACATTATTTTATGTTCATTATTTGAAAAAAACAATTGAGAGGCAATTTATTTAATTGCTAAAAGCAAAATAACATTTCGACAAATATAACGTTTTTATTTGGACAATTAGATCTAAATATAATACAGCTTATATTCTTTTTCGATTTTTATTATTTTTGTTTGATTTGTTATTAGTTTCAATCTACGTTCGTTCAAAGAATTCGAGAGTAAAAACGCGGATTAAATGTCGTTATTTTGTTTTTCTTTATTTCATCAATATTCATCGTTCAAGTATGTATACGAGTATATTTGAAAAAAAAAAAATGATTGCGATCAATAATTACAAATTTATTACTGTACAACGTTATCTCTCGATCGATCAATTATACATTTTTGCTAACGAGACACTTATACGAAGATATTGATCTCGATCTGAAGATTAGAACGGACGTCTGTAATTTGTTGATATATCTTAATATATATCAAAACGCCACTGGGCGATGTTACTCTTTTTGATGTTCGATTCTATAGAAACATGTATGAGATTATTTCCAAGAAAAAAATCGGTAGCAACGATGTTGGTCTCTTTCCACCATTTCTCTTGAAACTTCACCGTCAGATTTCTATTTATAGCATCAGCCATTTGTCGAAGTCCACCGAATGGTTTGAAGATAATATCCAACGGATATGGCGTCAATTCTGCCATGACGGCCCACAATGGATTTGGACTGTTTCTAGGTCCTGCATGACCTATTATCACTTCGTCCAAATACTTAAAAAGACCTTCCACCGTTTGCTGATTACCCCAAGCTTGAGACAACGACGGCCAAAGCCATTCGTAATCTGAGATAATATTCAACACAATCAATCCTTATTGATATTTCATCTCAAAATAACGATAACAAATAATTCATGCCTAATTACTAATGGTATTACCATTTACTGTATGCTTATCACCATAGCAAATGATCAATCGTCCAGCACCGGTCCAAATATCGTTAAGAGTAGGTCCATGGCCAACGAAATCTTTATCAGGTTTCAAGATCAAATCTCCAAATTCTCGATGTAATATAGTTGCCAGTTTATGATGCCTGCTCGGTCTACCCTCAAAACCAACTGGAAATCTAAAAGATAATAAGAAGAAGAAATCTATCTTCTTCATTGATAATATTTTCAATATAGAAATGAGATTGAATGGTATTTAATTCGTTTACCTGTGAAAATCCATAATAACAACTTCTCCTCTTGCAACATCTAAGAAATTTCGAACGTCTCTGATGATTTCTGAGAGCGGCGTAATTCTTATTACATCGTGATTTATCCAGAATCTGTTGATGTTATTACTTTCTTCGCTTGATTCTGTATCGTTTGGTCTGATAAGAGGATAATAACCAACTCTGATATCGAGGTAACGTATTCCGTGTACCAACTGCGTCCAAACGTCGCGATCCTGAGTTAGCAAATAACGTTGGTAAATGTCTGTTCTAGTCAAATCACCGTGTTTGTAACAACCTGAGTTGTGGGTCCCGGGTATCATCAGGTTGCCGATTGGTAGTCTTCCAAGTTGCCTTCTTCGTGTTTATACAAATGAAAATACACGTATAAGCATATACATTGATTAATCTAATAAAATACAAAAGAAACAATATATTTATTTAAAAGGTATATATACCTATAATCATACATCCAAGTTGGCCAAATTTGCAAACAAGAACTCGTAAAGAGTTTACCATCCTTGTAAAGAGCAACGTGATGTTTCAAACAATGTGGACCAGGAAGAGTGGCACCATCTCGAGTATCCCATCCACCTGGTAATGAAGGTCGACCGACGGTGATATTAGTCCGATAATATCCTCTTGGATGTTCCAATGGAGATAAGATCAATTTAGGTGTGATAGCATCGTCTGGAAAAAAAATAATGACCGTAATCGCGTTGATCGATTAAAATATTATAATGCCATTCATTCGAAATAAAAAGAAGAATCGATGAAAGACAAAGAAAATGATTATGTTATGTCGTACAATGTGCTAAAGAAGCAAACAAAACTTATTACTATGCAATGGGTCAGCACTGAAAACCTTGATGGTATCTGGGTATTCTGTGCTCCTAGAACAATCCAGTTCCCAATTAACTTCTAATTCAGTATCGACGACTTTATCACTTGCAGCGATTGGTCTCCATAAGGAGGAGACCGTCAACCATACCTTTCCACATTGTGTTGCAAAAACTAAAAAAAGAATGGTAGGAATGCCAAGTCTATTACATAAATAAAGAGTGCCATATAAACTTGGAAAAAAAAATGAAATAAAAATATATAATTATCAGTGGATGATCGAACTCACCTATGTCGCAAGATGCGTACAGAAGCAACAGAAAAGTTCCTTTAATCATGATAATCAAGATAAATCAAATTCTTCTATTGACTCGAAATACCTAATCTGAAACTTCTTGAAATATTTTCTTCACGTTGACAACTCCAACTGGATGCAGTATGAATACTTTTTTCCTCTTTAATCCTTGTCCCTCGAACTTAAAGTTCTCGAGACTGTATTCAATTTTTCAGGACATCGATCTTGAAATTTGTAGTTTGTGTAACGGAGACAAGTCTTCGATTGAGAAGCTACTTCTTTTCTTTCAGAATACGATCATCGAGAAATGGTCTGGTTCTCCAGAGGTGTCCCGATTAAAAAAGTCGAGAGAAAGAAGAAGCGATCGAGGGACAACACCAGACGACTGAGCGTACACCAACTTTGCTCGGTCAAGCTCGGACGCGTGGAGTTCTATTTTAATATAGAACCCATTGGTTCGCTTGTAAAATGTTCGAGCGCATTGTACCATCCTTCCATCACTTCCTCGGACACGTCAATTTGTTCGAAAAGGGGGGAACCGTGTTTTACCTACGTCTCTCTCTCTTTCTCTCTCCTCTTGGACTCTCTACCGACGACGTGTAGAGTCAAGGGGTCAGACTCGACCACCTAACATTAAACACCCCATTTCCTGCGTATCTTTAGATGATAGATAGACGGAAAGAAAGAGAGAGAGAGAGAGAGAGAGAGAGGGAAGGAGGAGGATTCACGCTAAACGACGATGGAAGGGCGATGATAAGGTTCCTGAACATACAAGGGTGTTGGGGCAATGATTTTAATTTTACATTGAATTAAACACCCTCGAGTAGTCCGCGTGTCAGAAATATATCACGAGAGCGTTGTAGATTACCAAATCATCATTTCCAACAGATAGAGATATATGTGCACGTATATATCATATATACATATCTAACATACATCCCTATTATGTGGCATGCATAAAAGTTATGATCGAGGACATCTTATGTAATAGATTTTGTAGCTTTTGTACAAAGATAAAATAACCATCTTCGAATAAGTGGTCTAGAGTAACAAACGTTCTTGTCAGATGTTGAGTTAGTTAGAAATTTATTTGGATAAAATTTGGATGTAGAACAAATATTATCTTCCTATATAAATACATTGTCGTAAGATCTGTGTGTTGAAGATTTCAAAAATCTATGTCACTTTTTATCTTACAAATTTGTATTTTTTTAGGATAAAATTTTGCATTAATATTAAATATGGTTTAATTAAATTGTGCACAGAAACTCTTCTAGAGGATCGTAAAAAGTGACAAACATTTTTCGAAATACATTGAAATCCTAACACATACATATTTATTGCCGCCAATAATTAATAATATTATATATGTATCCTAACTTTTGGTTATTGTGCTCAAAGTATGCGAAATATATTTAAAAATAATTGTACTTATAGTAAAGAAAATAAACTATAATTGTATTATTTAATATAAAAAATACTCTTGAAGATTAAAGGTAACAAAAAGAAGACCATTTGGATTATCCAACAGCGATTGAATTGTTAAATAAAACATCGATCTTAATGAGTTAACACAATAATCATAATGTTGACTTTTGTTATCCAATCGCTGAATGGTAATATCAAAATAATGTAGACTAGTGTTGATAAAGAAAAAATATTATTTTTTGAAATGTAGACAAATTCTATGTTCTCATTTAACATATGAATCGATCGACGATGATTATGAAAGTGGTTTAACAATCATATGTTTCGTATTAAGATGCATATTATGCATATATATTATTTTTACTATTCCCAACGATTCAGACAGACCACTTTCATAATTATCGATTGATAATGAAATCATTCATGAAAATCATTTTTTATTTAACCACGAACGACGATAATTGACAGTATAATACAATATTCATAATTGTAATTATTTAAATGAACGAACGAACAAACAAACAAACAGAAATTACGAATACGCTTTGCTATGGTTAATATTTCTGATTTTTATTATTAACATAAATGATATGACATATAAATTTGTTTACAATTATATAAAATAATTATATTCGAATTTACAAGTGATAACCGTCTCAATGGAATCATAAATATGTTTCTTGTTATTAATTCTTTATTATTGTACGAGAATTGTATTTTTCACGAACAGCATACTATTTCATTTTCATTTCAAATGATACATAGAGAATGAGAGTGGAAATCTAATTGTGGATGTGTATGTGACGTTATTATTTCAAACGTTTTAATACACTGTAATTAAAGATATAGAACAAAATCTATTTCTTTGTTATTGAATAATAAGAGAAAGATAATTATAAAAGCACAAAACATCAAGGCATGACATCATTTAATTAGACTAGCTTGAAAAAACAGGGAAGAACAACAATTCCATCAAGAGTAAGGATTTATAAAAAAAAAAAAAAAATGAATTGTGATGCGACAGCAGCAGTAACCAAAACAGAATTATTGAAAACAAAATATATATAATAGGTATGTATGTACGAATATATAAAAAAAAAAAATTATAATTATAAAGTTTGATTTGTGAAAAATATTCTACCATACAATGTCTCTCATTTTTTTAATTTTAGCTAGATATTGTTTTTTCCTATGTATTATTTCATTTAATCCTGTGTATTCTGAAACGATAGTCAGCTTACAAATGTGTCGAGCCCTAGGTATTATATGTATTTTCGACGTAGTCTTACTTTTTTTTATTATTTGTTTTATCTGTGTGTTAATATTATAATCGTTGATATTTTATATACTGCTCGTGGCATAAAATATCGATATTTTATATATAAGCATTTGAAGAAACCATGTCATAATAAAGATGCTTATTTCTAATAAATGTAATTTTATTATGTTTACATAAGGCGACAACGTTCGGGACCACCCGGTGCATCACCCTGAAACACAAAATAGATTACTTCAATGAAAAAAAGATATTAATTGGAGTAATTTGAAGATTTATCTTTTTGCCATCAGCCCAACATACGTTTAATGACCTAATATAGACTGCTTTTTCTCTCTCATATTTTACATTAGTCACAAAAAGACAAGCATACATTAATTTCTTTTATTTATTTTTAATATTATATTTTGTATTTATGATTAAATTATAGATAAATAAAACAAAAAAAAAACAAAAAAAGAAAGAACACTTATCTTATAATTAATTAATAATCACGAATGTAAATATGTATTATAATAAATATCGAATATGTATAAAATTGTGAAAAGCTTTCCGAACAAAATAGTCAATTATATATGTAACTATAAGTATTTTCTAAAGACAATGTGGTTAACTATGAAAATGTGAATGTATCCGCGTCAAACATATTATTTTATAAACGCATATTATGTTTTAGTTATAAAAGCGTGAGTATAAAGGCATATAGGTGTGCTGCATGAAGTCCAACAAAGTAATTAAGCCAAATAATCGTAGTATGATGAAAGTGCAGAAGATATTAATATCGTTGACAAGTAGCTGAACGATCGTACATCCGATTGCTTGAAATCAACTTACATAAGATGCCCATCAGAGTTCATGTGCCCAGGCACTTAATATGGGTAGAGATATCTTCTCTATGAAAACAAGAAGCGAGTGTCGATAAAATGCGCAACACCCTCCTTATAACAATTTACTAATACTATAACTATATGGAATGATTATATTATATATCATAGATATAGTACATAAAGTACAGGGTGAAGTCAAAATTCTTAACTGGACCAACAAAGTTTCAACATGATTTTATAAATCATTTGAAAACTTTTCGCTCCGTCCCTATAAATAAACTAATCTTTGACTGTCTAAAATTATGATAAATAACTGGAACTTTTTTCTTTTTTTTCTTTTATAACAAGCTACTGTCAATATAGCCACATTGTCTTCTTTTTCTTTGTAGGTTACTATTTTTTATTACGCAAACAGATGACCTAACAAATTAGCTGAAACTACATTTTAGTTTGATTTCTTTTGTCAACAACCATTGTCATAAAAAAAAAAAACATTAGAATATTGATCTTTAACGTCACACTCGAGAAGGGTGTATGTGTAATGATATATAAACTTATCTCGTATCATATATTCCAGATATTGTGATTCATACCTGCTGGTAATGGAGATCTTCCGAAGGTCGGAATCCTAAACTTTCTCTATGTCGTGACACAGATGTGGACAACTGTTGCCTTTTTCGTTCAGATGTTGCCATTTCCTATCAAAACATCAGAAATATTTGATATTAATTACATGCACACAGGTATTCATAAAAACGACAAAAAAGTTAGAAGAAAAAGAAGAAAAAGAATGATACCTCTGAGTCATTGTTTAGCAAAATTGTAGTCATATTTTCTGCAATGAACCATTTTTGACCCTTCATAACGATATTGGATGGTGGTTCATGGGTCGCACCGATATCAGCTGACCATACAGATACACTTGCACCTGAGTCGAGTTTTGCAGTTCGATGGAATTTAAAGACTGTTTCTAGAGTGCCAGCCTTGCGAATAATTTGCCAACCGCTAAGTCCAATTTCCTAATTATAAGAGAATATCATTTAATTATTATTGTAAACTTTAGATCAATTTTATGATCATATTTATATTGTAAATAGAACTTACTTTGTTACCCTTGTTAGTAAGTTTGACATATCGACCATGAGGATCAGCTTCTGTAATTTCAATGTCGCCCCTTGCCGTACCACTGATACTATAGTCACTACTACTGCGTTCTTCGCTTTCCTCAAGTAAAGTTCTCTTTCTCTTTCCCCTCAGAGGTGTTTGTCTTGCTGGAGTACTTCTGCTACTCTGTGTCATGTTACTTGTACTACATTGGGTCGCTGGTGTTATATTCAACCTAGAAACGACATGGAGAAACGACATGGAGAAACGACATGGAGAAACGACATAAAGAAACAACAAAAACCAGTAATACTGTAAATGCACAATTACCTAGCTTCCTCAGACTCTAACAATTTACGATATGCAGCAATTTCCAAGTCTAGAGCAACCTTTATATCCATTAAATCTTGATACTCTTGTAATTGTTGAGCCATTTCATCTCTCATGCGAGCTAATTCTGTTTCGTAATTAGCTATACTTTCAGCATGTCGCATACGTTCGTTCTCCCTAAGACTTTCCAAGTCCCTAGAAAAATATTGGCTTATTAATATTTGCATGAGACAATATAAGCAAATGTATATAAAGGAGCAAGAGAGAAATATTTTTGTACCGAATTCTCGCGTTCAAAGCATTGGTAGAGGCCTCAAGCTCGTTGATCCTTTGCTTGAAAGTATCAATTCCTGATCGCGTTTGTCTCAATTCCTCGATAGCTGTACTAGCTGCATCGCTATTACGTTGAGCATGAGAAGTCAAGTTTTTAATCTTGTTTTCATACAACATTTCAATCTCCTCACGATTGGCTCGCATTTGTGCCTCATATTGGTCACGCAATTCTTGCAATGATTGTTGTAATTTAGCTTCATATTGTTCGGCCAATCTTCCATCTATCTCGGAGATTTCAACCTAAATAAAATAAACGTAAGAGAGATTATTAATAGAAAAATAAAGACGAAAAAAATGATGTGAAATAAATGTTAGAAAAATATATTATAAATAGAAACGAACCTGTCGCCTTGAACGTGTTTCGGTAAGTTCTTGCTGATAAACTTGATCTTTGAAGCTTATATCTTCTTTAAGACTTTGAATATGATTTTCAAGATCTATACGCTGTAACGTTTCTTCCTCCAGATGATGACGCGTATCGTTCAGAGCTGCGTTCAAACGTTCGTTCTCCTTTTCCAATTCTCTATCCTTATCCGTAATTTTTTTACGTTCGGTTTGACTTTGAGTTAATTGAGATGTCAAATCGTTGATTCTCGCTTCGTACAAACTTAAATTTCTTTCGGCTATTTGCAAATCCTTTGTCTTTTTCTCCAATCTGTAATAATACATTGAATATGAATGTAATGAAGTTTAACAACTCAATTGCAAAAAGAAACTTCGTAGAAACGCATTTCCCCTAATCCCGTAATTTCTAATTAGATACCAGGAAGCTGATCCTAAAATAAAAGTGCCTTCCAGAAGAAGGAAACTCAAAATATCACACTTCCCCATTATTCTCAACTTAGATTCCTCCTTCTATCTCTCCCTCATTTTAAATTAGGTCAAACATAAGTATTAAGAAAATTATTGCTAGTGTTCTTTCCTTTTTTGATTTAACTATAGTTTCAAAGGAAATTCTAAACCACAATTTATTATCAGATTCTTTTGCAAGAAGCAGCAAGTATAAGATGATATTGAAGAAGAATGATTTAATTGTCGAAACGTTCGACAATGTTGCTCAACGTCAAATCTACTTGATATTAAAAGTCTTTAATACAAGTAAAAATATACGAGCAAAGGTTAGCAGGCAGAGTGTTTCTCTAAATCCTTGGACTACTAGCAGAATCAACAATGAATAATATATCGCGTGACTATACAGGACGAGGTCAAGATGTTTTTTTACTGAACCGTATGGTAAAAAGAATTACTGACGAATGAATCAAACGACTACGTCATCTCCAGAAATCTTCCATCTTTACTTCACGGGTATCTTCGAAAAAGATAAGAAGAAGAAAAAATACAAAATTAATAAAGATACTACTTAAAAACGAAATGTTTTCTATCTTTAGAGCATTCGAATTAGATAAAATAAAACAGTTGATTGCTTCAAATTATTTACGTAAATAGCGTTAGCCTGCTCACACCATGTCGCTATCAAATATTAAAATGAAAGTAGCGTCGATGGTGATGGTAATAATAGTAGGAGTGGTGGGGATAAGTAAACTTGTCCACGCAGGGGACAGAGAAAGAAACTCGCGTAGGAGGCACACACCGTCTGGGTCGCTTCGCTTTCATTTATTTCAGTATTTCCAATTTGGACTCTTCGTAAAAACGATTTCTATGACTCTAAATAATAAATTGACAATGGTATTTTGTTGTATTTTGTAGAAAATTTGTTTGTGGTAAGAAATTGTAAGGAAGGAAGGAAGGAAGGAAGATTGTCGAAGAGAAACTCCAGAATTATATCGGTCAAAAGACATTCCAAGGAGCCGAAGAGAAAAGCCGAAGCGAGTACTATACTCGGTCCGCCGCTATTTCAGACACGGAACACGACCCACATCGAGAATTTTATTTTCTACCATGCCGAACCAAGCAGTCTAATATTCCAGTCTACTTTTATCGACCTGTAACCCGTACCAGAGCTACCCATTAACTTCTAATACCTAATAATTCTAATTGATTCTTTCGATACTTTCTATCTTTATTTTTATTATTGTTATAAATTAGTTATACCTACACTTTGATAATGCCAATATAAGGAAAATTAATTAACGATTGAACTCAATTTTAAATCGAAAATTTCTTTCAAATGAATTCTCCAAATTTGATAATTAAATAATCCGATTTATTCTGAAGGTAATTTTGGTAAATTCAATAATGGCACACTTGGTATATACATATATAACGTGCAACGTTCTATCTCAGTATGGGGTAAAGATTAACCGTTCTCATCCTCGCGTCTTGCTTTCCTACACACTATATATATATATAACTATATTCGCCTGTATATGTATAATAATTTACTTACAAATTAGTAATTTTGTTGCAACGACACAAACATGCTCATGTATGTGTACTTAATTAAATATTAATATATTTTCGGATTATTTGTCTTTACTAATAATGATTAAATGGCAGAGGTAAGGAGGAAGAAACCGGCCTATAGCTTTTCCCGTGGTAGCGATCAATGGCCTTAAGGCCAGCGGAACCTTCTCGTGACCGGTTTGCAATGGCAGGAATCAACCTATGATGTCAGCTACTATTCTGTCGACTTTTTCGTTTCCAACACAACAACGGCACATCTTTATTTTTCATTGCACGTATTCACACTTCTCACATCTACAAATTCGATCAATCACCGCTCGAAATAGATTTCCTCATTTATTGAAAATGTTTCAATTTATATATTATTATTATTTTTTTTTTTTTTTTATAATTTCTCACTAAAATAAATGAAGAAATGAGTGGGGTACACCTTTTTCAGGTACTAAAGTTTTTAAAATGATGCATCTTAATGTGTTGATGATCTTCGCGTGTTTCAAATATAAAAATACAAAAAGATAAAGGACAAAAATAAATTTGTAGCGTTTCAATGCTCAGAGAATATTTTCGTATCGAAACACCACCTATTTAAAAATATATTGATAACGAACAAAATGATATCTGTAATCGAACATTATAGAGTTTATCTCATTTTATATATAAATTCTGAATATACAGAATGCACTAAAACGATCAATTTAATAAGAAAAAATTACCCAAGTACTCTGAAAATCTACCCTATATATTAAATTACTTTCAAAATGATATTTATAATAACATTGCGTCATTTTTTGATTTCTTTTTCGAGTCATAAAATATCTTGTAACGAATTCACGATAAAGAACTGCATAATATAAAGTATAAGTAAAAGAATTTCTCGATAAACCCGTTCACATTCAATCGAGGACACCATTATCGTCATTATGGTTTATCCTATCGAAGGAAGAAATGATGTCATGCTTCAAGTCTAGAGAAACATTCTTAGCATTTTTTGAAACACCTGTGTATTTACCCAAACCGGACATTCCCTTTAAAAGTAGCCCCTTAGGAAAGAAAAGAAAATGGTCCTATCATTTCCTATAAACAAATCGTTATTTTACAATACATATAATATCCAATTCGAAATAAGAATGAAAATAAATATGACGTAAATATTGCAGTACGAGTGCAGTCAATTTCTACGAATCGACTGTTTGTTTTCATTGCCCAAAATATTTTCAATGAATAAACAGATATAGTGAAGAAAAGAAACAAAAAAAATTATAGAAACAGAAGACAATCGATTGAACATAATGTTTTTGTTTAAGTATGAAATAGATGGAAAAAAATAATAGAAAAATAGGAACGCCACGTTGATACAAGACTATCCTTTTTAATCATCTAATAGAAACGATCTCTCTCGGAAAAGGAGTGTCCATCTTTTATGGAATAGGTAGCTTTGCTTTGGCCGTCGTGTACATTAAAGAGAGTCAATGTTTTTAGGTCAGGGAATACAGGAATGAACGGGGCTGACATCATCGCATAGTAGTAACGGTGACGCAATCGGCGTAGTAACGTCACGTTCCGGCTTGGACGAGACCTCGAAATATCGATTCTACCTCTAACTGCAATCGATTATTGACATAATTGATTATATTTGCAGCTCGCGCTCATATCTCAACGCACCCGTATCTTGTACTCTTTCAGACATATTGATTTTGGGAAACCTTGGTTCCTTTGTGAAATATTTCAAATCTTCTCTTATTATTTGTCGTCATGAATTTCTATCAACTTCTATCAAAGAAACTAACACCCTGAAAGTTGAAGTACAAGCAACTGTTATTATATTGATCAACGTAAAAATGTAAATGTAACATCATAATATGAAAACATAAACAAGATGATATTTTTGGACCTACTTTTAACGTGCCTCTTGTTTTTATAAATTTAAATATTAGATAATAGATTTATCTTCGATGATAAATATAAGCACAAAATGATAATGTTTACAATCTATATACAGAAGTTTTAATAGTCAATTAAAATGAAACATTAAGAAAGGATAATATTAAAATAGTGCATATTGATATTTAATGATTTCAATCTACAAACCAGTTGTAGACCACGTTGATATCTTAAACGATATTACACAACACATCATTCATAAAATATTTGAAACATATATATATAACTGATATATCAGTCTATCTCTCATTAAATTGAGTCTTTAAGGTATGCTACCAATGCTGCTACAGGAAAAGAACATAAGCAAGCGGTGAAGGAAGTAAACACATATAGGTAACAACAAATATACTCACTTATTTTTAAGTTCCTCGTTGGTATCCCATAATCGTTTAGTATCAATCTCAAGTTTAGCTCGTTCCTTGGCAGTATCATCTAACAATTTTCTAGTATCGGACAATTCCTGCTCATACATAGACTTAATATTGGAAACCTCGCGTGTAGTTGTTTCCTGCGTAGTATGCACTTCCCGCGTGAGTCTTGAATTTTCGGCTTCGAGATGCCGCACCTTGTCAATATAACACGCGAGCCGATTGTTCAGGTTTTGTAAATCTTGCTTTTCTTGTAATCGTGAATAACGGGTAGGACTTAGTGGACTACCAGGTCTTTGGCCACCGATAGGCGTGGATGAATGAGGTGGTGGTGGCGGTGGTGTTTGAATGTTGCTCGTATTAGAAGACATAGACGTCCCAGACGCCTTCTTACTTGATTTCGTCGACATATTTGCTGCTTCTTCCTCTTCCTTTTCTTCTTTATTCCGTTCTTATATTCCAATGACTATGATCTACGAATGAGAAACTTACTCTAAGTAACTGGCAATTTTCTTCCCCCCAGCTATTTCTTCTTCGTAACACACTTCCGTCGAAGCATCAACTTACTGCACTTTCTAGCAACGCATCCGTTAAATAATTACCTTATTGAGCTTTTTCAAGCCTTTTATCACGGCGAAAGCACGGCGAAACGAAACTTGTACCGTTGCAACCGCAAGGATGGTGTTCGTTAGCGCACAGATTGAACCGTTTGTGCGTGCTGACGCCAACACCGAGGCGACTCTCTCTCTCTCTCTCTCTCTCTCTCTCTCTCACGCGAGCACCCCTACCACATCCGACAACGCGTATTTCTTCTCGACCAATCAACTAGCGCAATTCTCTTTCTCTCTTTCCGATGTTTCCTTTACAAACGCCGTTCATTTGGGGATTTTTCTTTCTTTAGCGCTGATCTCATGTCACCGTTCCCTTCCAAATGCCTACAATTCGCTCCGATTGGTCCAATGCCTAGCCATCGACGCCGCCGGCTTCCTCCTTCTTTTTTTTCTCTCCTTACTTTTCTCTATTTTTTCATCGTTTTAACAGCGTTTTATATAGGTTACTTTGGGTAATCATTTCAACTATTTGATTAACACGTTTTATACAACGATTCAAACTTAAACTTCGTGCGTGGTACTTTTTTTTATTTATTTCTTAAAAGATCTCGTGTTTCTATTATCGGTTAGGTTCTTTCTTGCTCAGCCAATAATGGAGCAGAATATTTACAATGCAACAACAAAAAGACAACTTCCTACGACGCATGCGCAGAGATGCGTTATATCCTATGCGCAATCTCCTACATCGATGACGTTTCGTATTAAATTTTAATTGGACCAGGGATGCAGACTTTCGATTTTTGAATTTTTCCAATAATTCATTTCATTCGTTACGAAGAAAATGGATGATTTTCTATTTTTTACATGCTAAAAATGCTCTATATGTATACGAAATAAAGCACATAACAATAACTACATTAACTAATTAATAACAACACTTTGCACAATGTATAGAAAATCAAAATTTGTAATCTATTAAATGAATAGAATATTTGGGCTCAAGGTTAATAATAAAAATGACTAAGAAGATACATTATATAAATAAATATTGTATCATGATATATTTAACAACCAGTAGTAACAAAGGTAGGTGTCTCTTGTATGTACTTGTCGCAACAGAACAGCACTCTTTATCGTATGGTACAAGCTTGAATTTGTATATAACGTTGTATATAATATATATGTGTGTGTATACGTATATACATACATACATATATATATATATATGCTCTTGAAAGATTTCTTTATACCTTAACAATGAGATATCACTAGAAAAAGAGAATCTGCTTTCGTTATTGTAACATAATAAATGTAACGCATAATCATCATCATCATTTATTATGTTACATTCCTCCCTCCTGAATAACTGATTAAACTTACAAGATTTAATGACTTTTACAATCCTAAATAGAAATATTTGTCTTATTTAAGAGAATATCATTCTCCCTAATATAATGTTATATAGTAAATATATAATTTGTTATCTTTTTCTTTTATATTAATATAATTAATTAATATCTATTATATTATGTGAAATGATACAATTCGGTAGTAATCGGTATATATACACATAACTCCATTTCAATGTTACATACAGTTCTTTTTGGTCTTACGGAGCAATGTTGCTTCAGTCGTCTTTGGTAGTAACGTCATTAAATTTCAATTGCAACTATCACGAATCAATAACACAAGACGTTTTTCATTAGCATGTCTGCTGTTCCCTGAGTTGGTATACAACCTTTTCAGTCTTTGCCATTTATTACTCGCATCTTTCACAGCAATTACCGCACATCAGGTAAAACAGTCGATATCTCTAAAGGCAATTTCAATAATACCCTCGTGTATATGGAAAACTCTGCGCTCAAAATATAATGTTAAAGTAATCCAACGTAATCTATATGTACAAACGAACAATACAAATTGTTATTTATTTTTTTGTTGTTATTTTTTTTTTTAAATAAGAACAATTAGGTATAATATATTTCGTAGCAAAATCACAAAATCTACGAAGGACAAAATTACTAAATCAAGTACTTTGCTCGATTTATCTTTTTTTTCTTTCTTCTTTTCTTTTTCACAAGAAATACATCACCATATTTCTTAACTTTTGACTAATATGGTATGATAAAATAATGTTCATTTATAATCAAATATATTCACTCTCGTTTGTCCAATTGAACATACAAGATTATCTTTTCATCATTAATCTCTCTCATCTATTTTGTAAACGTCTCATTAAGTAATGCTAAATTGAGAAGAAAACAAATACAGATAAGATGATGATGAAAATAAAGTAGTAAAAAGATATAAATGTATATAAGCAATACAAATATAATCTTGAATGATCTATATAATCTTGAATGATCTATATAATCGTGGTTCGATTCTTTTGAGAATAATTCGATACAAATCATTTATTAATCGTTTCCTTCCCAATGTTCCAGTAATGTGACAAGGGAACTTTGAGTTAAATCCATTTGTAATATTTCTTATTTTATATATAGGGTGAAAGTGTTGAATGCTTAAAGAGTTATTAAATAAACAATTAATGTCTTCTTCTGTTTAACAAGTAAACATTTATATAGAAAATAAGATAATTTCATTGATAGAATGTTATGATGAATTCCTTAGCGAATTCATCAACATACTTAATATTATCTTTCAACACATTCAACGGTTCACTCGACGCATTCATAGGAAATGGATTTTATTGAGGCACATTTACTACGTATCTATCCTAACAACCCATAATGCATATTTGACTTTTCTCTGATTACAGAGAAGCGAAACTTAATTAAACAAAAGACAGGGAAGAAACAAAAAAAAACTTAAACAAGTAACCAGAAAAGAAAGAAGGATAAAGAATTTGTCCAACTATTTTTTGCTAATAGGTACTACTTATAGAGAGAAAAAAAAATGAAAAACAATAGGAATTTGATAACTATCGGTTACTTCTCTCTAACAGAAACAAAATGATCTGACCCTGACCATAAAAATACGATAATAATATCACCCCCTATTCCCTTCGCAATCATTTTATAGAAAATCTTTAGCGAGAAACTTATATTATCCTCTGGTTATTTGACTAAAAAACATGGCATTAACTGAAATATATGTACAATAGTCTAAAAGATCTCTGTCTCTCACGTATTAGGAATGATGTAACATTTATAATATCTTGTACGTAATTCCCAAAAGGCAGCGCACTATTACTTTATTGTAAAATGCATAGGAAACTAAGTGAGAATAAGACTACCGCTTAGACAAGATTTAGGAAACATTACTCAACTGTAATCGTAGTAAAACGTTTGGGCCGTTTACCAGCTTTTTGTTTTCTATGAATATTGAGGTCTTTTTTGTCAGTACCAGAGGAAAATCCATAGGATTCCATAGTGCTATCCAAATTGGATACATTTTGTTCTAATTTTCGTTTTCTCGATCTCGTAACTGGTCCACTTCTACCACTGCTATTACTACTACTACTACTACTTTGATAGGATTCACCGTCGAGATCATGGTGTCTCTTGCTTCGTTTAGCTTTGGAACTTCCCTGCTGGGAGGTGGAGTCGTCGTCTGTCATGTCACGCTTACGTCGTTTATATTTTCCTTCTTGATGTCGATCATTATTTGTCTTTGGAGAATTGGACTCTGAGGAAGACGACAAAGAATTTAAATATTCGTTCACTTTGTCCTCTCCAAAATCAAAGGCAATAGGTCGAGCTGGCGAGGCAGAAGTAGCTACGTTGGTACTCGAACTAGAAGGTCGCACTAATGGAACCGAAAGGGTCGAAGAAGTTGTTGAAGCAGACGAAGATACGGAACTAGATGTCGAACGTTTGTGTAGTTTACGTCTTTGGGCCAACTTAGCTCCGTCCACTTCGCGTAAACGAAAACCTTCCAATTTATCTTGCGTTGTCGATGACGTCGGAGGACAGTAAGTAGTAATGTTAGTAGTAGCGTTTATAGTAGCGTTAGTAGTTGCATTAGTAGTAGCATCAGTAGTAATAGTAGTAGTAATACAATCTGGAACGTTTGAATTAGTAGTTGTGCTGCTGCTGCTGTTGGTTGACTCGAATAGCCAAGGATGATTAACAAGGGCCGTAGCGGTGAGTCTTTTATTTGGATCAACCATTAACAAACCTTTTGCCACTTGCTTGGCTAAAGGTGATATATGACACCAATTATCAGCGTCGAAATTAATCTCGCCAGATTGAATACGCGAGGCCAGGTCTGGCGAGTTTGTTCTAAAAGGTAAACTTTCTGATAATATGCAACACATGATTGCACCTAAACTCCACAAATCGCAGCTTTGATCGTATCCTTGTTTAGCGATTACTTCTGGTGCTGCGTAAGGAAGCGTAAAACAAGGTGTGAGAAGAGGCTCACAACTACGTTTTAATCTAGCGAAACCAAAGTCAACGATCTTGACTGGAGAATCCTTGCCTTCGTGAACAAAAATAATATTTTCTGGCTTGAGATCTCGATGGACAACGCCACGAGAGTGCATGAAACGTACCGCGGAGGCCAATTGCTTCATAATACGACTTGCTTGTTGCTCGGTGAACGGCCTTGGTCTACTCAACAATTCACCTCCCGAGAGTAACTCCATCACCAGATATGTATGCGCTCTATCTTGATGTACCTCGAACAACTTGACCACGTTTGGATGGCCTTGGCAACTACGCAGCAAACTTGCTTCGCTACCAGAATCCATGCGCCTGCTAACGATCTTCACGGCAAATTCCTGAGCAGTTTTTTTGTGTCGACATTTACGACACACCGAAAAACTTCCATCGCCTAGTGGCTCTCGTAGATCGAGCTCGTAGGCCTGAAAGAACGTTGACCCCTCCAATCGCATTGCTAAAACGTCCGACGTTGAAGATCTTTGAGAGTCGCTACTGGATGATTCTTTTGTTTCTTCGAAGAATATATCTCTGCTAACCACGTTCTCGCTGAAGAGTATCGACGGTGCTACATAAGAGTAGCCCTATTTAACAAATAACAATTATCATTTGAATCATTTTCTTTAACATAATAAACGAATAAACAAACGCTAATAAATAATCAAAAGTAAAGCCTTTTACCCGAAATATTTTATCGTGATTGGGTGGTACAACGGCTGGACTGTCGGCAGCAACCATTTTTGTAAATTCTTCAGAAAAGTTGCTGGTATCGAGTTCGTGTGTGATACGCGGTACGAACGGTGGGCTAATCTGTTTCTTTTCTAGAGCATCCCAACTGAATGGCGGCGGAGCTCTTCTAAAGAACGGATGTTCCTTCAATTCCTTGGCGTCGCGAGGTCCACCACCTAGTCTTTGACGTGGATCCTTTACCAACAAACGCGAGATAAAGTTCCTTACGGTTGGATTAAGATGACTGGGTATCGGTGGTTCGGTCTTTAATATTCTTCTTGAGATCTCCTGCTGGGTATTTTTCTCTCCCTCGACCGTAAAAGGAGAGGCGCCAGTGAGAAGTTCGTAAGTTAACACGCCCACGCTCCACCAATCCACAGCCTGTAATATCCAACAATTTATTATCATTAAATAACATGTTTTTTTCTCTTATACACGCCTGTAGATAGATATATATTTTCACTTGCTCAGTATTTCTTTATATATACAATACACATGCGGCAAAAAAAAACTTAGACGTTCGTTAATTATGATTATTAAAGAATATCTTTTTATTACCATAGTTATTACATTTTTCTGTTTGTCTTTCATATTTTATTTCTAAATTATATGAATTATTCTCAATGAAGGTAAAATCAAATTTGCATCGATCGAATAAATATGTACAATAATATGCGTATATTTGCGCGTGTGTTATGTAAAAGGTACATTAGGAAATAAGATATAAACATCCTCACTTACAATATCGTGGCCTGCGGATCCCCCTCGTACCACTTCCGGTGCCATATACTCGATAGTACCGCAAAACGAGTATGCTCGAGCGTTGCTGTCTCTTTCATGCGGTAAGAATTCTTTACTTAATCCAAAATCCGTAAGGACTATGTGTCCTTCCCTATCGAGGAGTATGTTTTCTAGTTTAATGTCTCTGTATATGATACCCAACTGGAATAAGAGAATTCTTTATAATCATCATTGAACTATTGGAGATGTAATGAGGGGGGGGGGAGGGCATGGGTCAAAAGTTTCTACTCTATTATTTAAGAATGTTTGATTCATATTTTAAATGCAATTATTCGTATTATTTGTACTTCATTCGAAAGAAATATAAAAAGAAAAATGAAGAGAAATAATATTTCAAGGCTTGGAATAAAAAGCATCATAAATGTGCTTGTGTCATCGGAATTGCTTTTAAAGTGGAAATAATACTGCTTGGAAAATACATCTCGACCTTATTTTCAGACATAATCAATATTTGTAGTATCCAAATATAATCACGAAAGGAATACGCGCGGTAAACGGTACACGTCAATCGACAGAGCTATCGATTTTGTCCGAGTATTCCAAAAATATTATATTACTACTACCACCGGCACCATTCGAAACTCGATAAATTAGCGAGTCTGGTAAACCGAGATGTCATCATCATAATAACAATAACACAATAATAATAATAATAATAATTATTATTATTATTAATATCATATAGCATTTGGTGTAGAATTTACCTTGTGCAAATGCTCCAAAGCTAAAATCACTTCGCCAATATAAATCCTTACTTCGTCCTCGGTAAAGTGTTCTCTTTGATATAAATGAGTAAACAATTCACCTCCACTAACATAATCTGTAAATGCAAGCAAAGATATATTTATATTATTTTTATCAAGTAGGATGAAAAGAGAGAGAGAGAAAAAAAAGAAAAAGGTGTTAATAAGTCTAATGGCTCACCTAAAATTAAGTGCAATTTGGCATCAGTTTGGAAAGCATAATGGAGCGTTACTAAAAAAGGACTGTCTCTAACAGCTTCGAGAACTTGTCTCTCGGTCTTCGTATGTTCGGTAGTTTTTTTCTTTTGCACGATTGATGCTTTTTTCAGGACCTTCATAGCATAAAGACGACCAGCATCGGTTCCAACTCTTTTCCGTACCAGAAATACTTTTCCATAAGCTGCAAATTGTCGTTGATCAATAGAGACTTTTGTCGCATCGTAAAACCTAATGTTTTGTTCTCTATCTTTTTTCATCAAGAGAATGTCTAATGAAATGAGGAAAAGAGGGTAGGGAAAACAAAAAAGGAATAAAAATGCATTAAAACATAAAGACTACACATTAATACGGAATTTTTACAAGGATTTTCTAAATGAGACAAAAAATGAAAGGAATTAAACATGATTTGTAATTCGATGACATACCTCCGGTACCTAGCACCTTCAATAAATCGAAATGAGACATATCCACCCTTTGGCCACCACTATCCTCGAGATTTACTGTAACAAAAACATTACATCAAAATTATTAACAAAACGTAGAGAACTTTTTGTCGAAGTGTAAAGTGTCTCGAGAAAATCGATATGGAGTCAATTAAGCGTGAACGTTTCAACCTGACAGCTGTCCTCGTAAAAAAATCAGGTGTTAACAAATTTGCTTGGGAATAATCTTCCGTCTGCGATATTTCCTGTCCTCGGCATGCTTGCTTGTTTTATTTATTATTGGGTTAGCTAGTAGATAATACTGTGTATATTTTATTAGAAACTTTTGATCCAGCCTATATCATGGACGTGTAATCTCTCTCATGTCAGTGATGTATATCGATGCCGGTGGTTAAAGAACACCGATTGGAATGCCATTTATTTGAAAGTGTCGTGCGAATAAACGTATATATACACGAGTATCACGAATAAGCAAGTAAGCAAGTAAGCAAGCAAGCAAGCAAGCATGCAAGAGCACACCTGCAATACGGATAATGTTTGCAGGTGTTCGTCGTTGGGGGGAAGTGAGAAGGAGAAGGAGGAGGAGAAGCACATGTGGCAAACGCGTGTGCATACGTTGCTTGCCGAGCAGCGTTGCAGCATCGTTGCAATTGCAGCTGCAGCATGGTTCGGTGCAACGCCACGCAACGCAACGCAACATAAACGCAAACTTGGAACCTGGAAATAACCAAAATGACTATTAAAATACACGCATAGGAGAATAATGATTTTATATGAAAGAAAGGTATCGCACGGTTGAACGTGTAGATTTAGCCGCTAGCAACGCGCAAATCCGATTGGAGCGATTATCAATTTGGGGTGGGAACGGGAGTGGACTGGGTGGCTCGTTTCGATTGCAAGAGATTTTCGTTGCATCGATGTTTGAATAACAACAGAGATAACCGAGAGATAAGCATAACACATATATTTGATTTTCTTTGCTGCGCAATACGATTTTTATTTATTTATTTATTTATTTATTTTTCAATAATCGCTACCTTTTTGTTATTTAACTATTGTATAAGGGTGAGAAAAGCGCGTAATCAGATGGAAGCACTTGATTAACTCTCTCTCTCTCTCTCTCTCTCTCTCTCTCTCTCTCTCTCCTTCTCCCCCGCGAAGTAACGTGGCAAGCAAGTAAATAAGCGACGATGCAACGATTTGCATGTGCTTAACCTAAAAAAGATGAAAGCACGAGATAAAAGAAATTACCGTCTCACCCCCTCCTCTTCGCCTTGCCTTTTTTCCTTCTTTTTTTTTGTTCTTTATCTATCTTTCTTTGTCCTTATTTTATATTAATTTTGTTCCAAATGAAAGAAACAAACAAAGAGTAGCCTTTGGACGGGGAGAAAGAGAGAGAGAGAGAGAGATTCAAGTTTTATCTCTAAAAGAGAGAGAGAGAGAAGTTGAGTTTTTTGTGCCGAAAGACGCACACACACACACATTGAGCGACATCGATTTCTGTTCAATCAAAAGTAATTGTCTTGGGTATCCATTCGCGCGTGGAGTAAATGTATGGTCTGGTCTCTTTCTCTTTGGTTAAATAGCACTCGTCGTTGATGCTTTCACTTTCAAACACGTTCTGCTTAGATCACATTTTTTCATTTATAAATACACAAATATATATATATGTGGAAATTTAAGTACGTTTCAAGAATAATTCAAAGCTTTTCGTTAGAATTACAATCTTATATTTATGAAGATACGAAGATAAGATACAATGTAATAACACGTTGCATTAATCTAACTGACGAATATCCAATAAAAAAAAAAAAAAAACATCTTTTATTCAGCGGCCATGTCGTAATTTGTCAAGAGCTGCCGTATTTTCTTTTATTGTTAAATTATGAAGAGTAAAAGGTTCGTTCGTTCGTTCGTTCGTTCGAATAGAGATAGAAACAAAACGTCTATTTTACATGTACATTGTATGTATATGAAGATGTAAATGTACACACGAAAGGGGAGTTTGTCTCTCGATCGTCCCCGGCCCTGACTGTTCGCGCTGAGAATTCATGTCAAGGTAGTCAAAGCGACCACGATCGCGTTCTACCTATCACGGATACATACGATTGCATAGATATACGTGCATATGTGTGCACATGTGTGCGCGTTTTTCTTTCTATTCGTCCGTTTGCGTAGAGTGAGAGACACACACACATACACACCCACACTGACATGCGCGTATATAAATATATAGTTTGATATATATATATAGTGGTGTCTGTATCTGGATCGACGGTGCAAGATTCGTGTTCGGTTTTGCACGACCCACTTACGTCGACTGGAATTACCTTCTCGTGGCACTCCTTTAAACAAAATTTCGTAGAAACGCGAGAGAAAATTCCAACGAAATCGTCAACGTCATTATTACTTATACGTATGTATAACGCATTTCATAAAACGTCCTTGACTTTAGTTTCCTAGTATATATCTAGTTAATTGAAATAATAAATGAAGAAATAAGTGGAAATTCTTTTTCATCGATTTTTAACAAATTTAACTCGTCTGCTTGTCTTCTTTGGCTTGCATTACCTTTTAAAGACGACACTGAACTTGATAAACCATCTATTTGGGTTAATTCGATTTATCCCTTTATAAACCGTTCCAAAGAGTTATCGATAAAATTAGACGACCAATCTTATCTTCAATCTTCAAATTCTTTTCCTTGTTTTTCCCTTATTTTAGTATTTTTTTTTTTTTTCGTCGTTCCGATCTATCGATAAAAATTATTTATATGTTCCACTACATATGTGTACCTTGTTTCGTCTTTGCGCGTTGTCACCGTCCTTGTGGTATTTAACGAGCCAGTGGTTCTCACTAAAAACCAACTTTTCATAAAGATATAAAATAAGGAAAGTTATTTTGCATAGGAATTAGGTATATCTCTAATCTTAAATGGAAAACTTTCTATTAAAAAATAATTGACCTCTCGAAATTGTAACTTTCGTATTGATTTGAATGATACATCCTATAAAGTGTACATAGAGGTTGAACGTTTAGCAGACGAATGTAAGCCATAACTGTCTATAAATAGAGCGAGAGAGAGAGAGAGAGAGAGACCAGGCGTTCCGGTTTTTCGGGATAGAGGATTGTACCGGTTTTTAACACCTTATAATCCTTAAGAGTCTTCGCGAGACATCGTCCAAGCATTGTCAATGTTTAACACTCGTAAGTACGTGCATCTCTCTACGTAAGTAAAGTATATAGGTCACCCCTTTTACCTCTACCAACCAATCCCATATATTTGCAACGTAACGAAAGAAAAGACCATTTGTATTTATTTTATTTGCCACATATTTATATAGAACGGATATAGGAAATAGAAAAATATGAAATCGTAGACAATTGAAATTGAGGAGAAAAGAAGGAGGCGCTTAAAAACGTAAGATCGTGTTTTTATGCAAGAAGCAGTCACGCGGTACACATAAAGTAATTCCTTTCACTGAAATGCCTTTCACTAAAAATATTTCTACGAACCATCAGCAAAAATAATTTACATACATATGTACATAGTATATGCATCGATCGATCAATAAATGATTTAAAAAAAAAAAAAAAAAAAAAAAAAAGCAAAAAAAAAATCTTATTTCTTTTATCGAATGATGAATGAGATTTGATTGGAAAAATTCATTTGCGAATAATTGTCACGTTTCGTTAATTAACGTCAAATTGTTGTTATTCCATAACGAATAACAAATTTTCAATTATATTTATATACACGGTGAGTGAATCATGCAACTTGTAACAAATTAATATTTCAATAATTATCACAGATAACAACAAAAATACACTTTGAATATCATAGAAACTTGAATGATTACATCTTGATGAATTTTATTTGACGACAAATCTCGACGTTTCTCAGCAATTTTCAAACTCTGTATATCTCTCATTGTCAGTTCCATTGATGGAAAGATAGAACACTACCATCAGCCACCATAAAAAAAAAACACATTTTATTATTCGAGCAAATCAGTAACGGTGACGACCGAATCGTATTGCTGGCTTTCTAAGTTTTCCGCTTCGTAATAATTCTGTTGCATCGTTAAAACGGCATTTTATGTTACAAGTATATATATATTCTTATAATACCATTTGCAGGATTTCAAATGTCGGTCTAGTTAAAGTCTACCGACCGAATTCCCATTAAAACGAAACTAGGAACACGAATCGGTAGATGTTAACTCAGAGATATATCTAATTAGTTAGACAGTTTAGTTTGCTTTGCTTTAGTTTGCTTTAGCTTCCCTTTACCGTATCGTACAGAAGATACTAGATACTACAAAATACACATACTGGATTTCTGCAACAGGTAATCCGATGATCAGAGCCTGATTCCAATCTTCAACAATGTTTATACGCGATCTTCCGTACGACTGATGATAATTCCCTCAACTGTGAAATGTTTAGTAATTAAACAGAAATAAAATTTAAAAAAATGTAAAAGAAAGTAAACGCGAGGGGACGGACGGACGGACGCGTAAATGACACTTGGTCTATAGATTTGAAATGATTTGTATGTGATACACGCTAGGCCTTTGCAAACTCGCTGAGCTTGCATCGAAAGCTTCTTCTCTTGCCTTCTCTCCCCTTGCCATGGAGTCGTTGTTGACTGCCGCCTGCAATCGAGACTCGTCGCGGAAGTTCCGCTTTTGTCTGACCCAGATAGTCCGCATTCACTCGCTATTTCGTAACGGGACCGACTACTACTACTACTTTCTTCTTTCTTTCCTTTTCTTTCCTTTTCTTTCTTCCTTCCTTCGTTCGCTCGCTCGTTCGTTCGTTCGTTGCAATAATGTGAAATGCACCAGACATATAAATATATTAGTTGTTCCTGTATCGCAATAGAAGGAAAATAAAACGGTAGACGTAAATTGACTACTAGTCGTAATTATCTCGACACCTATTAAAGACCCCATATAGGAGGAGCCTTTCAAAGCCGATCGATCATTTCCTCTAACAGAGTCAGATATCATCCGCTGTAAATCCGTTTTGTCAAGTTTGCAAACAGCATCGAA